TACAAAGCATATGAATGATTCATTTTCTTTTATTTTCATTATGTAAATGTTTTTATAAAACTTTTTGTATATATTATTTTTTATGGTTTAAAAACTCTTGAAATTCTTAGTTAAAGATTCAATTTAACAAAATTTTAATGATAATACAACTTCCCTATTTAGTATTTCATTAAAAAAGAAGTTACAAGAAGATAAATGTCACTTTGTCACTAAATCTCTCCTCAAATCCGAATTTACTCTTATTTTCTCTCAAAAATATATTTTATATCAAGTTAAGCTTAATGGAATAGCAAGGGAGTGAAGAAGAAAGACTTTTTACACATTTTGTTATTTTATATCCAAGAAAATTTAAGGTAGGTAGAGATGCAAGTGTTTATTTCGTTTTCAAATTATGATTTTTCGATAAAAGTTTGAATGAATTCGGACATTCGGGTACGGTGCTTCGACACTAAAATAGTTTAAATGAAATGGTACCTCCGGATATGGTGCTTCGACACTTCTATAGTTTGAACGATCATTTTTCGGCTCTACGTGTTATGATAATACTATAGAAATTGGATTTTATCGAAAATCCATTTACGTGCGACGGTATGAATCTATAGTTCGAAATTTTTAATTTGAGAACGAAATGCACCAATGATATTTATTGAGTTTCAAACTCATGAGTTAATTTCTTTCCTACATGTTGATTTGATTTGCTTGGGGCGTGGGTGATGGTCGATGAAAATACAACATCCTATGAAGAAGTCGGTGACTTAATGTTTTAATTCGATTACGAAATGTTTACTTTGTTTAATAAATAGATTTCTATGAACTTCATATGTAGAACTATTTTAAGAATTTTTTTTAATGAATAAGTTATGTTCAAAAGTAGATGTGTTATAGAAATTAACCTACGAATCACCGTTTACAAAAAAAAAAAAAAAAAAAGGTTTAGCAATTAAATGTTACTGTTACTTAAAAAATTCAGTTTCTGTATTGACTTTAAAAATTTAACTCAACCATTTCTTAGAATTTTTAGACAAAACCAGTGAAGTTTGATAGACTCACAGGTTAGCTACTAAATAAACTTGGGATCGTGTCAATCCGATGTCGGTAGAATTTTATATGTCACTTAAGGTAAATTGCATTGGCTAGTGTTGCTGTTTTATAGCTTCTGTCTTGATTTCAAAAATTCATAACTCGATCCTTACTTGAAATTTCTAGATGAAATTAATTGGATTTGATAGTCTCACAAATTGGCTACTGAATAAATTTGAAATCATGAGGTTTTGATGTCTGTGGAATTTCATATGTCATTTTAAGTGAACTGTACTGGTTTACCTTTCAACTGGGTTGCTTCTGGGTTTTGAAAAATATTTTAATATCTCATATGATGCCGACGGAAACTAATTTTTTACTATATCATATTATAAGGAGTTTTATACTTTATACTAAAAGTTGATAAAGTTTCAAGATCGATAGTTATGCAAACGAATTTATTTAACACTTACCCGACGAGATAGAAAATGAAAACAGCTTTGTTTATTTAGTGTTAGCGGAATTTTGGGAAATATTTTAACGCCTCATATGTCACCGACGGAAGCCAAATTTTGGATATGTTATATTATAAGATTCTCCCTACTTTTTCTTAAAATTTTATGAAATTTCGACATTGATAATTATGCAAACGAATTTATTTTCAAACTTACCGTGCGAAAATAGAAAATCAAAACAGATTACTTTCTTTCTTACTTCTTAAAGTAGTTCACACATGGAAAACTATCATACCTTTTATTTGTTTGGTAGATATGTACTTGCTACTATTTACATAATAAAATAGACATATGCATGGATTTGCTCGACTCTTTTCTTCTTTAATAAATACCTTTAGAATTATGTTACTATGTAAAAGTAGATTCTTAATGGGAAATTCATTGGTAGTTATTTTATATATATATAATTCTTAAGGAATTTTTTAGCTTAAATTCTTAAATTAAATAATTTCTAAGTCAAAGCTAAGGTACAATTGTTTGTGCGACGCTTTCGTCCAGCGGGTCGGGATGTTACACTATGTGGGTTCGCATCAGTTGATATCAAAGCCTAGGCTCCAAAAATCAAGATTATATCATTTTCTTTTCTTTTTCTTTTTGTTTGAGTTTTTGTTTCGTTTTCTTTACATTTTTCGCATTCTTCGCGTTCTTTACATTCTTTGTCTTTTGAGTCTTTAATCCCTAAAAATAAAAAAAAATTCAAAAGTTGTTTGTGTGCTAATTTAGCACTGTAATCTTTTTCTTTTACTGGTATCATAGTTGAATTTTTTAGCACAAAAATTTGAATTAAAAAATTTTGAAAACTGCCAGCATTATAAAATTTCGTTTTTTGAGTCAAAAAAGAAGAGAGTGTCCAATCAAAATTCAAGAACCATTTTCTTGGATTAATATTAGTTCCCCATTCAAAATGTCAAATTCCTTTGCTTCTTTTCTATCCTTCATTGAGTCTTTGAAATTACAATTTCTCACTCACATTCTAGTTTTAATTCTTCAAGAATAAAACTTGATTGAGGCCAAATTAATTCTTTGAAGCACTTGAGTGAAAGCATTGAGTGAAAAAAAGCAAGAGTGGTGAGACTAGTAGAGGGAAAAAGCCAATTTTGAGTGATACACGAGCGAATACGCTAGAGGCAAATCATACTTTACATTTAGGATGTCTGATAGAGACAACTCTACATCAAGTGGGAATAATAATCAAGCCAACATGTCGAATGAGGCGATATATCAGTTCGAGAGGTTGTTTGAAGATGTGAGAACTAGGTTGGATAGACAAGAGGCATGGATGAAAAGACAAGATCTATTACTTGCTAATTTTTGTAGGGAACAACTAAGAGAAGTCCCCAATACAAAGAGGCAAGGTAAGTGGGAACCTAGGATGGAGATTCCTGGTAAATATGATGTGGGTAGTGACAATAAGGGAAAATTGTAGTAGTGGTACCAAATATTTCGTTTATTAGCAGATTTTGTCCAAACCTTTTATTTGTGCCACCATGAGTACCAAATCTTTAAAAAACTAGTACCTGAGGTCCAAAGGGATGTTTTCTGTTAGTTTGACCATTAGTTGACCCAATAAATTGTCTTTGACCAATTTTAAAAGGAGTAAAATTGTAACTTTGAATTAAACTTAAAAACAGAAAAAAAAAGAAATTCAAAAAACAAAAAATCAAAAGCGTGTAACTGTTCATCTTCTCTTTCCCACATACCCGATCCCAAATTAGTCTAACACCACAGTCGTCGTCGTCCCGTCGCCTGCCGCTTCCACTACAAAACTCATCTTATCATCAATTTCATTATCCCAAATCACAAACCATTATCAAACCAATCAAAAAACCATTTCATTCCCATCAAGAATTTCCAAGTCAATGTAATCTATGGTGGCGGAAACACACCTTACGGCCACACCCACCATTTTAGACCACCACCAGTAGACACGTACCCCACATACGCTCAATATGATGGTGATGATTCAACAAAATAGGGCCAAAACATCAATGTATTTTCTGGGATTTTACATCCAATGCGTGCGAATAAGGGCTCTCATATCCAATCCAACTGATGGTTTTCCCATCGTTCAATCCACAAATTCACCTACGAGAACTCATATTCATACTCAAACGTTTGTGGGTATACAATTAATTGATCCAATTGCTGCTCAATTGCCTCGTAATACGATCCCTGAAGTAGTGATTTGACTGTTCCGTCAATTGCAATTGACAGCCAAAATATTGTTCTTCCATCCATTGTGATTCATCGGTGGTCGAAGTGGGCCTTTCCTTACTTGCTTTGTGAGAGCTAAATACTACCTAGTAGTGGCTTGATTATTCAATAGATCTCCTTGATTTGAAAGGGATGATGAATATGGGGTGCGTTAATTTAGGGTGGAGGGTGGGGGGTGATAAACAGTACTTTCTTTTTATTTTTGGGGGTGGGGGTGGACTGACTTTTCTCTTTTTATTAATCTATGTTTTGTTTTATATTAATTTCAAAGTTACCATTCTACCTCCTAAAAAATTGGTCAAAATCAATTTCTTGAGTCAACTAACAGTTAAATTAACAGAAATCATCAATTTGGACTCTAGGTGTGAGTTTTTCAAAGATTTGGAACTCACGGTGGTACAAATTAAAAGTTTGGACAAAATCTGTTAATAAACGAAAGTTTTGGTATCCCTGCTGCAATTTTCCCATATTTTAAAAGTTGTCCAAGTTACCATTGAACTTTCCCAGATGTTTTTAAATTGTCATTGAAATTTAAAAGTTCTCTAAATTGTAACCAAACTTACTAAAATGTTATCTTATTCGTCACTTTGTAACTCATTATTTTAAAAGTTAGCTAACTTGATGAACTTACAAAAAATATTAGAAAATGTGTTATTCCGTTTACAATCATTACGTTCGTTAACTTTTTAAACGGCCAATGACAGAATAGCGTATGAGATAACGTTTTGATAAGAGTACACTAACCACTTAGAAAAAGTTAAATGACAACTGTAATACGTTTGAAAAGGTTCGCACCTCAAATATTTAACCAAATTGACATATTGTGAGTGTGTACTAGAAGAGACAAGTAAATACCTTTGATCCCTAGGCATTTTGACCAGCATACCAAGGTAGAAAATTGCATTTCCTTGGGTGGAAAGAAAGCTTGAAATTTGGCCTTTTGTTAAAGGAATCACTTTTGAAAAGAGACAATTATCGCTGTCTAAATCACCGGTGTAGGTGAGTTGATTCTTCTTAATGACATAACATATTTGTGAAGTACAGAATCTATTGCTTAGCAATATTAAGAATGGAAACTTCCACAAAGGAATTTATTGCTTACCGGCCTGAGCATTTTGGCTGTGTTAAACAGCCTTGATCAAATTTTTTTTGAAAGTCTAACACGTGAGAATTACACAAGATATAAAGATGTCATTGAAATCCAGTTATAAATCCCAATCAAACTGATGAGTAGGGAAATAAGTAACAATATGAGCTATAAGAATCCAAAGATGATTATAGAGCTGCAGCATATTTATGATTCAAGGTTTAACAATGTTCATAAGAATTAATAGAACACAATGGAAGACTTTCTTCCCAACCGAAAGATCCATTCAAACGATCTTTGAAACTAAAATTTAATGTTAAGAACCTTACCAAGAGACCTGTCGTTTTTAATAGCATCATGTTTGAAACCATTAGTGGTACTAATATCTCCAGAACTTAACTCTTCATGTACTGCAGATATGGCAGCCTTTCTCCTTTCCTTATGATCCTTCCCCCTCTTTATCTCTTCCTCAAGTGCTGCTTTTGCCTTCTCGGCTGCCTCAGCTCTGCTAATGGCCTGTTCTGCTCGAATCCTGAACTCCCCAATTTTTGAAAGTGCAACATCTAACTCTTTCTTCAAGCCCTCAGATTCCTCCACGTATTCATGAAGGGATGAATTCTTCTCAATTTTCTGCTCCTCGCCAGCTTTGGAAAGTTCCATGGACTTAGTATGGTTTTCTTCAGAGGGGTCCGAACTGTTATTTCTTTTAATTTCATCTGCCAATCTTTTAGCTTTCTTTAACTCTTGATTCCCTTTCTTGGTGTCTTCGAGTTCTAATGCAAGCTGCTGAAGTGTGTTATGCAGTGCTGATATTTCACTCTTCGATCTTGCTTCAGAAACCTCAGTTGCAGCAAGCTTCGACCTCTCATTCTGAAGTTCAGATTTCAGTAACGCAATCTCAACTTGTGCCTCATTCTCTTTTTCTTGACTCTCAACCGCTTCAGCTCTAATCTTCCTGAACTCTGATTTCATGTTCTCAACATTTTTGTTCAGGTGGAAAACCTCTTCTTCTGATTTTCTGAGTTCCATCTTTAATTTTTCAAGTTCTGTCTCAAGCAAACTGATACAAGCAGCATGATCCAAGTTCTTTCTCCAATGCAGTTCCATATCTGCTTTCAGCTGGGCTAACTGGGAAGTTGCTTCAGAAGCAACTTTCTCAGAACAAATGTGAAGCTCATTTGCCTGCTTAAGTTCCAATTGCAGTGAATCTATAAATGCTGACTTCTCCCGAAGCTGATTCTCCAAATCATGCATAATTTCTAATCGCTTCAGTGCTTCAGCTACTTTTTTTGCTTCTATCTCTAACTCAGCCTCTTTCTCAGACAATGTCTCGGCTTTTTCCTTCTCTACTCTAAAAGCTTTCAGCTTCAAATGCATAATATTTTCATTTAGTTCTGACATGTGCATTAAAACCTCTTCCATTTTCAGCTTTTCTTGGCTTAAAACGCTTTCCATAGCCTCGATTTGTATAGTGGACTCAACTTTTGAGCGTTTCAACTCAGCAATTTCAGCTTCCTTGCTAAGAATTTGTGATTGGGCTGACATTAACTCGCCAGCAATATCGGAAAGCTGCTTTTTTGTCATCTCATATTCTGATAATTGATTGGTCATCACCTTAATTTTGCATTCAAGTTCATTTACACGAATATTTATTTCTTGGCATTCATTTATGTAATATTCTTTCTTAAAATCAGAGTTCTTCAGCAGGGTTGAAAGTTCTTCTGATATTTTCTGATAGTGATCTACCTTAAGAAACGCTTGCTTGCAGGAGGACTCCTTTTCATCAAGTTGTTTCAATAGGACTTTGATTTCGATGTCTTTATCTATCCCCTGTTAGAACGAGAAAACACTACATAAAATAGATTTCTTGTGATAGCTCATGATGAAGGATTAGTCATGAGCATTATCAAACAGAATGATAGATCAATCTATCGCAAATAATATAATACTCAGAAATAGTACTCGCACAATCCACAATAATGAAAGTTATACAGAGAGATTGGAAAGAAAAAGGATAATCCGACTCTTAGGCCAGCTATGCTTTATGGTACTAAGCGTTCGACCGTCAGAGGACGAGATATCCATAAGATTTAAGATGTATACCTTGCACACTAAATTGGATAAGAGGAAAACATAACAATTGGAGGTGGAATCGATAAAGGATAAGTAAAGGACGACGATTTTAGTAGTTAGGACATGTTTTTTGTAGACTTGAAGAGGCTCTTGTAAACAAGATTGATGTGATTTCACATAGAACATGTCTAGAAAAAAGAGATGTAAGTCTAACATTGCCATCTATGATTGCTAAAAATATAGTTTTTTCAGATCTTTGGGTAGATGTAGCAAGCATCAATGGCAGTGCAGAAAAAGAACTAATTTAGTCGACCTCAAGTTTATTAGAAACAGGGCTATGTTAATCCATCAAACCTATATCTCACACATACTGATTTATTGGCATAATTTGTTACTAACTAGGAAATCATAGTCAGCAGTAAAACAATATTTTTGAAGAATAATGACATTACAACTTTACAAGCTATCAAATTCTTAATATGAATACTCTTCCACTTGAAAATTTCCAAGCACCCATGTTTCAGTAATTTAGATATGAATCAAAGAATTCTTTAAAATTGAATACATATCCAAGAAGAACTAAATATATTTCGTCCCGAGTGTTGGTGTAGAACATACAACAAGACACAAACTAGCCTCTTCTCTGATGATTTTGGGGTTGGCTATGTGAATACTTATTAGGTACTTTGTTCCATTCACTGCTAGATCTAGTGAAACGTGTAAAATTCGTTTATAACTTACCTCAGTGCTACTTCCCTCTCGAAAGAAGGAAAGTGCAGTTTGAACTGAATCAACTGGTGTTTCATCAATCTTCCTCATACTTTGTCCTCAAAAAATCCAAAATTTCAATCAAATTTGAGTTTAACTATGCAAATCCTGGAAAAGAATTAGAAACACATACAAATCACACTTCGAATATGCCATCATAACAAACTAAATTAAACAAAATAATGCATAATAATGAAAAAATTTGTTACTTGTCAACTACGATGCCACTGGCACAGGGGTTCAAATCTTCAAATCGGAAAAAGGGATTAAATTTAAAACTAAAACATATGCAATAACGTACATGAAATGAACGGAAGCAAACTATATATTAGGCGGAGGCAGCAAAGAAAAATCTGGCGGTGCGAAGAGGCGGATTGATTCGATTGAAGATCCGACAGAATTATTTATGGATTTTTTTATGAAACTCATTGCAAGATTATTGGTGTAAACAAGGACTCAAAATTTCGTCTGCAATGAAGAATCTATAATTTTTTACAGATAAAATCTTGTAAAAATCGTCCAGTGGTCGGGCAAAGTACAACGGATTTTGATTTTAATTGCTTCCAAGGGCAAGAAGTGGCTATCGTACATTGGCGCCTTTTTTTTCTGGGTCAGATTGTGGGCTTAGATCATAAATTGTTTGGGCCTGTCTGGCCCATTTAAAGAGCCAGACCCTGTCCATACAATCTTGAGATACGAGCCGTGCTGCAGGCCTGTTTTACTTTAAGATTAGTGTACTCGTACACTTCGGGTATATGTAATACATTACACCCTCTCACTGGGAAAGGACCAACCCTTTATTTTATTTTATTTCATTTCTTAGTTTTGGCCCTAGTTATGGAGTGGCTTGAAATGGACTGGTTCATCGACCAGCTCATCGAATGGCTATACGTATAATATTCTAGCCCATTTGAAGAAGTGGATCGTACCAAGTGTCAACCCATTGAAAATGGCGCATCTTGTTGCAATTCTAGTCAAGATTTAGACCTTAAAACTCAGAGTCCTTTGGAAGAGTTATATTATGCAACTAGATCTTATGGAGCATAAGTTACATCGTAAACTTGTTTACTTGGTCCCTATTTGGCAGATAAAATCTTGTAAAAATCGTCCAGTGGTCGGGCAAAGTACAACGGATTTTGATTTTAATTGCTTCCAAGGGCAAGAAGTGACTATCGTACATTGGCGCCTTTTTTTTTCTGGGTCAGATTGTGGGCTTAGAGCAGAAATTGTTTGGGCCTGCCTGGCCCATTTAAAGAGCCAGACCCTGTCCATACAATCTTGAGATACGAACCATGATGCAGGCCTGTTTTACTTTAAGATTAGTGTACTCGTACACTTCGGGTGTATGTAATACATTACACCCTCTCACTTGGAGAGGACCAACCCTTTATTTTATTTCATTTCTTAGTTTTGGCCCTAGTTATGGAGCGGCTTGAAATGGACTGGTTCATCGACCAGCTCATCGAATGGCTATACGTATAATGTTCTAGCCCATTTGAAGAAGTGGATCGTACCAAGTGTCAACCCGTCGAAAATGGCGCATCTTGTTGCAATTCTAGTCAAGATTTAGACCTTAAAACTCAGAGTCCTTTGGAAGAGTTATATTATGCAACTAGGTGGGTGTTTGAGCCACATTATTTTAGTAATAATGCATTCTTGAATAGTGTATTGATGGGAAATGTGTGATTAAAAATAAAGAATTTTTTTTCATTTGAGTTTAATATTGTTTTATTGAAGATTGTGTGATTGAAATGATATCAAATCACTGTTTAAGAATGCATTTTTTTGGAATAATGTGGCTCAAACATACCCTAGATCTTACAGAGCATAGGTAACATCGTAAACTTGTTTACTTGGTCCCTATTTGATAAAAAGTAAAATTCAAACTTTAATATAAACTAAAGCCGACAACTAAATTTTAATTACATACTTTATAGGACTTACAACTTTTTCAACCATATATTTCATCAACTTTTATCAAATTTGCTATAAAACTTATTTTAATCCCCATGGGCTTAAGAATAACATGTAGATTGGGAGTGACTATCTATATATATATATATTGGATGTGATCATATTTGCATAGATTTTACATATAAAAATTCAAAAATACAAAATAGTGTTGGGTTGGAGACCCAATTATTATTATTATTATTATTTTTAATAATATTGCTTCCTTCATTCTACGTGTTTTTATATAGGAAAATATTATTTCTTTTATTCCACGCATTTTTTATACTATTTCCATTTTCAAGAATATCGTTGGAAGATTGCCTTGGTTATTTAAAGAGATTGTTGCTAATTTGGAGATTTTAGAAGTAAAGTATGATGAAGAAGATTTGACCTTAATTTTTTGTGTTCGTTGCGCTTCGTTTAGAGGCACTTTAGTTTCAATAAACAAGTTTATTTTTATTGCAAATAGAAAAGGCACATCAAGAGGGATTGCAATAAGTTACAGAATAAAGGAAATTTGGCTACAAATCAGAAAGGAAAAGCAATCATAAACTACAGGTGAATTCGATGACGCAAAGAATTACTTAAGTGATAGGGGTGTATTGGCTATTTTTTATGACGAGTCTAAACCAGACGAGAATTGGATTATAGCTTGTTCTTTCATGTGTATCCCAATCGGAATTTATTTTCAATATATGAAATAATTTTTACAAGTGTCATGGACATGGAAAATAACACATCTTCTAGGTAGCTAGTATAGGTAGAGTTAGATTTAAGCTGGTAGGTGGCATAGTTAAAACACTTTATCAGGTATGACATGTTCTAGATTTGAAGAAAAATCTCATTTCAGTGAGTACTCTTAATTCAAAAGGTTACAAGTTCTGTAGTGGATGTAAAGTTATGAGGGTTTGCAAAAGTGCTTGTGTTGTATTAGAGGGGCGAAAAAGTCTAAGTTATACGTCTCGCAAAGTTGTATAAAATCCATGAAGAACAATCAACAAACATTTAGTACCGTGGTGGATAATCAATTTGGTACAGTATCACTGGGATTTAGTTTGAGATCCATGTTGAAGAATACAAATTAGTCAAGTTCGGAAGATATGGGTAATGCAAATTTGCTAGAGAAAAACCCAATGAAGATAGGTACGAGGATGCTAATTTTGTTGCGCACGCTTTAAGTATATTTAAAGGTGTTGAGTCTAGCAATCTACAGAAGCACTTGGTGTTGATTCTATTTGAAGGTGTGTTTTAGCCCTATTTGGTAAATTTTAAGTCATTTGTGATTTTTTGTTGAACCCAAGGTAATTCTGCGAAGCAAGGCTTGGATTTATTTATCATAGCTGGATATTGTAGGAGGGGTGGAGAATTTTTGGTTTGTTGGAGAAGTTAGTTTGGTTCTTCTTGAAGAGGTCAGTTCATTCCTTGGAGTCGAACTTTTTCTCCAAATAGAGAAATTTTGGTGTTCCGATCGTTGCAATGAAATTTGTGTCAAAGTGGAGATAATTGAGTTTGTGACCCAAATTCAGTTAGATTTTTTATAAAAAAATATTGTTTCCTTTATTCTACACATTTTTTATTCAAAAAAATATTATTTCCTTTACTCCATCTTTAATAACATTGTTAGCGTTTTGATATGCCTATATATATATAGTTGACTCTTCTTTACAAGCTCGTTTATTACAAAAGTTGGAAGAATTATGAGTAACAAAATTGTAATTTTTTTCCATTATAGTTGAATCAGTTCTTCAATTCGTCTGCCAAATTAAATTCTTGTCGTTATATTCATCTCGTTGTTGTGATCAATACTTCATCTCATGCCTCGTTTCGCCACAATCAATAGAAGTCTAATCTAATGGACAAGGAAATATATTATATTAAACATGAAAGTTATTAATTTGACCCTAAAATCACCTAGAGGTGATGAATATGTGAATACTGCGGAATGAAAATAATCAATTAAAAGCAATATATCACTTTTTAATTCTTCTAAATGTTTAGTCGATCAAGTCAATTTTATCCTATGGTTTGAATGCCATAATTAATAATATTAAAGCAATAAACAACACAAATTATGTTGACGAAGAAAATCCAACTGAATAAAAACTCCTGAACGAAGCCAGCAACATCCACTATAGACAATATGATCCAGCCTAAAAAACTCATTAGGCTCATTGATCTAATTTCTGTAATCTACACGGCCCACTGAAATGTACTTCATTGACACTTGTTCCCAATCTTTTGTAATTATCTATCTCCTATGGATCACCAAGAACATCTTGTTCTTGTACTCTTCCTATGTTCTTGGTCAAACCTTCCTTAATCTTCACCAACCTCTAATGCTATTGAGAAAGTACCTTCCTATATGTGTATAGAAATTGAGTGTTTTGGATTATATAAAATTGATGTTTTCCCAAAGTTGTAGTTGAATGAAATTAAGAATTAAAGGATTAATCTAAGGCTTGAATGCGTTCTTGGATCTTGAAAAGATGTTATAGAGAAGGAATATAATGAACAACCACGTCAAAAGGTATTAGGGGTTGGGTATATATGGTAAAAGGTAATTAGGTTGCATGAGTAAGATAATTTTTGAAAAAAGTGAACTAGGGTTTTACGCATAACACCATTGCTTGATCGCCAGGTGAGTGTCTAGTGTGTCGCTCAAGCAAGAGTAGGGTAACAGGTGGGTGACAGTGTTTTCTATTTTTTCCGCTCGAGCATCGGATGGGCGATAGGCTAGCGTAAATTTGACAGCTCTTTCCTCCTTATTCCAAACTCGAACTCTGAGTTACCTATTTCATCTATACAACATTTCAATTGATTACTTGATTTTTACAATTTTTCATATTAATCCTTTTGTCCAAAGAATTCACAACACAATAAAATCCTAACAAAACAAATGTGGTAAGGCGCCTTAATCCTTAATTAGCTGTGTTTCACAATAATAATTGACTAAACTTAAAGCTATGAACAATCTTGCATATAAAAGTTGAAAAAACGAGAAATATGCCTTTTTCAATTCTAAAATAATCTAGTTTAATTTGTAGGCTCCTTGAGGGCATGTTAAAAAGTAAGGATGGACATTTTAACAGGTATCAAACCTCTCAAACTGTAATCGAACTAGAAGTTGAGGTTTCAGTTTGGTTCCAACAAAAAAATTAGGAATTGAAAACGAGAATCGACCATGTATAGGATGGTTTTTGGTTCTTGAACGTGAATCGTGGGTACTCAACTTTAAAATTAAATATATCATTTTTCTATTTTATTTATTTATTTTTTACTCTGACATAATAACTCGACCCAATAAATAGAAAGTGTAAAGTCTACCATGTATCATATCAGGGAGATACATTCATTTGAATGATTGAATCATTTCACTTGAAGTGCTGCATGCAAAATCATAGCCGAAATTGATAGTTATTATGCTATATATCAGATGTTATTTTGTTGTATAATTGCAGTTGATTAAGAAAGTGTTGAGATATGTATTTGATGACATTAATATTTCATATTTCTACTAGATATTTAGAAGATAATGCATTGTTATCTCACGATTTTTTTTTTTAAATAATGAGGTTTGGTTTCAGTAATTATCTAGATCCGAACGGTTCCATTTACGAAATACTTGAAATATCACAGGTAGTTTCATGTATTGATTTGAATCACTCAAACCGATCCACCCACGTCTATGCCAAAAAGGGAAAAAAAATAATGAGGTTTCGTTCCAGTAATTATCTAGATCCGAATGGTTCCATTTATGAAATACTTGAAATGTCATGGGTAGTTCCATGTATTGATTTGAATCACTCAAACCGATCCACCCGACGTCTATGCCAAAAGGTTCCCATTTTTCTATTGACGGAGAAAAGAAAGACGTTTTTTAAAATTTACATGCATAATCGGGGATTTAAAGTGACTTAGACGGTATCACAATCGAAAAAAGTAATAATTGGAATTTAAAATCTCTTCATTAGCCATTTATAAAAAATGTAAGGGGTAGATTCAATTAGAACTTCTGAAGATTTTTATGAACTTTTTTAAGTGATGACTTCCATTAATTTCATGGACTTTTTACAAATTTGTATAGAATCAATAGAAGTCTTTTGTATACTTGTATATACTTTCATTTAAAAACACTCATAGACTTTTGTAGAATTCAAAAGATTTTAATTTAAAGTAGAATTCAGTGAGTATTAATAATTGTGTTATATTCTCGTATATGAAGTGGTAGTTCTCACAATTCCGTTTCATCCCCGTACAACAAAAAGTATTTTTAAAAGGATAAAAATTGAAGTCACCTCATAATCTTATAATTTTTAGTTACAAATAATATTAATTTTTAATAAAAACATGATGAAAAAAGAAAAAATATATATAAGAACATTTAGTCCTTGTTTGACAGCCTTTTTAAAGAGTTTTTGGAGTTAAAGAATAATGATTTTTAGCATATTTTGTGATTAAAAAGTATACAAATATTTTAAATTTACGTGTAAAGCTAAAATGTTTTATTGTATGAACGTGTGATTGAAAATGAGTATAAGAAAAAAAATTTGAATAAAGGGTGTCAAACAAGGATTTAGTTACAAAATTTTATAGAAAATAGAGAGAGAGCTAGTAGAAAAAATAAATTTTAATTTTGACTATGATGTTCTTAGAAAGGAAAAAGAAAGAGAAATATTTAAATAAACAAAAAATACATATTAAATTTTTATTTTTTGGTGAAAGTCTCTCAAAACTTTGGGATGAATGAGAGATAGATTTTGATGTTTTGTTTTATTACTTTCAACTTAAAAGATAGTATTCAAGATATTTTTATAAATGTATTTAAAAGTCATTAGCAATTTGAATATTTTGAGACTCATAGACACTTCAAAAATAGTTTTAATTGAATTTATCGTAACTTTTAAAAACCTTTTAAAAGCCTCGATTGAATATACCAATATTTTTAGGGAGTTTTAAAAGAATTATATTGAATAGTGAATACCCTAGAAGTCGAAATTTTTAAATGCGTAGGGGCTCATGCACATGTGAGAGTAAGACACCAATTAGATAATCCATTTTTGGTACATATTTATTTATCCTATCTTTTATATCCCAATTTTTTTTTTCTTAAAAGTTTCAATTTGTGGGGACGCCGTTATTTTTCACTCTGCAGCCTGCAAGAAGTGCCAAAAAAATGATTAGCTGTGCCAGTTGCTACCCAAAAATACATACACAAAAATTGAGTGAGAAAATCCTATAAACAACATCCCAGTTTTTCTCTCCATTTCAGAGAAAAACTGTGTGATTTGGGTGAATTTTCAGTGAAAAAACCAAGAATGGAGAAAGCCCTTACAAAAGTTGGGAGCCTAAAAGCTAGTACATTTTGGGTTTCAAAGAAAGCCAAAGAAGAAATCTCCAATATCAGTCAAGATCTCTCTGTATGTTGTTCGTATCTATTGTTAGATAAGATTTTCTGTTCATTCTCTTTGCATTGAAGATTATTTATAAATTTTATTGGATTAAAACTTACCCTTTTGTGGATGATGATAAATTGATTATAAAAGGTTAAATAGTATAGAATTGGTACAAGATCTGTATGGCTATCCTTGAAACAAGTTTGAATCTTGGTGGGTTTATTGATGGGATTGAAAGAATTTTTGGTATCTATGTGTTCTAAGAATAGAAGTTTGATAAGCAAAATGACAGAAATTAATCTTAAATAATGAGTAAAGTGAATGGTCAAATGATGCTGAGGATTTGAAATACAGGCATTCTAGTTTTATCGATATGATTTTCAAATAGTAATAATTTGCAATTCAAAATGAATAGAAACCAATGGGCAAGATGAAAATTTTGTGTCTAGGATGATTTATTTCCATATTAGATGTGTGTTATTTCATTGTAGATCCTATTATTTTCTTTTTGTTCTTACGAGTTGTGAAGACCAACACGCATAATGTATACAATAAGCATAATGGATATTCTAAAGACGGGTTTTTTGAAATGCACCATTCTCAATTGCACAAGAAAAGAAAAAAATGCTCGTTGTGCAGAATTTTGATCTGCCATTAATTAGTAATTACTTATATGAGATGTTTTGCAGAAAAGTTTTATATTCTGAAATGAAATATTGACATGTTCTTGAATCAAATGGACTTGAACTTTGAATTTTGTGATTTGTTTCTTTTGATTGATATCGTCTCACTGCAGACGTTTTCAAGCACCGTTGAAGAGAAGGCAAAATGGATCTTCAACAAGCTCAAAGGTATGCTGTAAAGCATGTATCCATGAATCTATTATGTTTGGCCGAGCTTAAAAAATTTACTTATAAGTAAGTCACAGATGGAAGTAAATAAGTTCCAATGTGGGATGATGTTTTCAACCTTCCTTTTTGTGGATTTTAATTCGGTGTTTTTGAAACTAATCCTTTTGAAGGGAAACCGGTGAAGTCATTGCCTGATCTCCTACGAGAATACAATCTTCCTCCTGGCCTCTTTCCTCAGAACATAACATGTTACGAGTTTGATGAGTTGAAGGCCAAGCTCATCGTCTACATGCCCCATCCCAGTGAGATCTGCTTCAAGGATTCATCTGTTGTCAGATATTCAACTCGTGTAAAAGGGACATTATCGAGGGGGAAGCTCTCTGGAATAGAAGGAGTGAAAACTAAGGTTTTGGTTTGGGTCAAAGTTACCAGTGTCAGTGTTGAGAGCTACAAGTCGGATAAAGTGTGGTTCATGGCCGGAGTAAAGAAATCGAGGGCCAAAGATGCGTACGAAATGCCACATGATGCCATCAGAGTTGAAGAATTTTGAGGTACAAGATATAATAATCTATTGTTTGGGCAATGTGTCAATAAATCTTTATATCTATTGGCGTGATCTCAATTTGTTATAATATTCGTTACTTTTCGGAAAAATATATGTTTGCAACATTGATAATGAAGGGTACATGATAGGGACATCCGGTTTATCGTATCTAGCTCATCTAAGTTGTAATGAAATCACAGGCAATTTTTCGTTTTCTTCTATGTTGTGAAATGAATCGTGCATATCGAGCTCATTGAGTGATATATTTGACAAGCTTTTTGTATAGTCAGTTGTAGAGATGTAGACTATGTTGGAATGTATTCTTCATTTGGCACAATCATGTTCACCCGTTTGTGGTAGACCCATGGCCCACACGGGTCGTTTGCTTAACTAATAGCATTATCAACATAACGGTAAAAGTAACTATTTCTAGCATGTTGAGCACTGAAGATTGAATAATCCAAGAGGGGTGTGTTGAAGGGTGCATTGAAGGCTATTTCTTCAAAGGAAGGGGCTAAGACGAGGGGATCCACTTTCTTCTATCTCTATGTTCTTGCTATAGAAGTTATTTTCTAGATCCTTGCCAAGAGTTTGATAATGGAAGCTTCTCATTGCCCAAGATATTCTATGCTATCTATAGCTCTTCTTTGTTTTGGGAGAAAAAGACGTGAAAGTTTTGTTTATTGTATTATTCAATAGTATCAACTACTGTGTACTAAATATTCACTTTTAACTTTGACTCTGGTGAGTGTAAGATTGTGCCTCGGAATTGTGGCCAAAAAAGAGAAGATGAAGCATGAATTACATGCTCAAACTTTGAAATTGAATAGAGAAGGCCCCTACAAACAATGAGAAGTTTCATTTTAGCTTATTTTCTAAGCAAGGCAAGGTCCATTTGGATATTGGAAAATGATGGGCGAAAATGGGGGTAAAATTGTCAATCACGCTAACAGAACAAGGTTGAGTCATCTGTACCCATCAATAATGCACTTATGCATGCACAAAATCTTTTAAATTATCTTAGTTTCATAATCTACGTTTTTTAATTAAAGAAAATTGATGAATTGAAATTTGGGATTTCTTAGGTCACAAAGACGGTAAAGAGTTTTTACAATAAACGTATTTGGTTTGTTCTTGAAATTCAAGCGAATTTTGACGATGTTTGAACTATTGGACCGGCTATGTCAAGCCGTGTGACAACATTCAATAGAGATCTGGATTTGCACAACTCTAAATCAGATCTAGAAGGACTGAGCAATGATCCTAATTCCATCTCGCCAATAGTTTGGATGGTGTGTGATGACTTGAGTTTCTGATCTACAATTCCATACTTAAAATTTTTAACATTATGTTTTATTTGTTGTGTTTGATGGTTATGGAATTTTGAATCTGGCGATGATTGTGGTGTGGGTAGATTTTGGAAGATGGTCATAGTGTTTGGGAGCTCAATCTCGAGTGCGGTAGTGGAAGAGTCGATTGACAAAATTTAGGTTGTTTTTAGTTTAGGTTTCATTCAAGTAACATAATGTGATACAATATGTTACTAGGCGGATTTGGATTTTGGATATGGATCCTAAACGAACGATCGTGTGATAGTGGTGGGTAACATGGAGATGAATTTGGATGATGAAAGTGTGGTGGTAATATGATAGGTTACTTGCATGTAATAGTTTGTTAGTAGGCGAATTTGGATTGTGAATAAAGATAACAAGCCTTTAAGTGAGAAAAAAATAGTTTTTAGTTGGGCAAAAGAAGTATGTGATGCTTGAGATCGAAGAAATTTGACCGAATTGAATGAGGTGAAAGGTAGTGATGATCGTGGAAAACAATGTCAGATGAATGGTGTTTGCGAATCTTCTAGGTAAACCTCTTAAAGAATTATAAGACATATATATATTTATATATATTAACACTGTATCATATTTATTACTTGGACATGTAGCCCATATAAGTGTTGATTTCTAATGAAATATTAAGTTTTTCAGAGTAGGAAACAGCTGGAAAAAAA